CAGGAGAGGGACGGCATGTACAACACTAACAGGAGAGGGACGGCATGTACAACACTAACAGGAGAGGGACGGCATGTACAACACTAGCAGGAGAGGGACGGCATGTACATAACTAGCAGGTGAGGGACGGCATGTACAACACTAGCAGGAGAGCTTGTTTGGCTAGTTTATTTATCGGACACGACTTTGTTTACAGATGTACTTATATTAGATAGGTAGATAAGTGGAAACAATGTTGATTTACACTGGTCTGATGTGTTGATAAATACCAACACTCCCATGTTAATCACTTGTACATATTATCTTTTGAAATTATTTATTGGAATTTCTTTGTGAAATAATTTCTGTACGATTTAAAAACTTCCTGTCTTTAAAAAGTCTTTACTTTTCTTTTTTTCTTTTTTCATTCTGCGTTTTATTTTAGGAGATGTCTTTTCATATTTAAATCATTCTGTGAAAAGATTTTCATCTTACAATCCGAAATAAAATACTATGTCGTTTAAGAAAAATACATGTATAGATCTGTATTTCTTAAGTTTACTGTTCATTACTTCTATAGATATAATGATTAGTGCAAAGTGTATCAATTCCTTCTTATTTTAAGGTTTAGGATTTTTAACATGTACAAAGTTTTCCGATCAGTATACTCTCCCCCCCCCCCAATAAAAAAAACCCCACCAACCCTGTGTGGCCCCCCTTGGGGAGAGGAGGGGGGCCATATAGGGCTAAAGAACATTTCTAATCTAATGCTTCCAAATGAGAAACAGCTTTAACCAGATCTCTGTCGTGAATTGTCTCTCAATAAAATGTTTCTGGTTTCCTCTCAAGATTGCACAAATGAACAATGCTCTACTCATTTAAGCTAATTCTTTTCCTATTTCTTTTTTATTTGCTGTGATTTGATCTGATATTTAAATAGAACGATTCCTGTAATCCATCACTTATGAGAACGTCCGATGCGTAGTTTTCCTTCAATTTTCTACAGATTAAGATATATAATCCAAAGTTAAAGTAGTGTAAAGTTGGTTGAAAGTCTCAGGGCAGTACATTGGTAATGAAGGGCTGAAACTTGATAATGTAGTTTTTCTTGTCATGAGCTTACATTGAAACTTATGATTTAAAGGCCACAGTTGAGTTAAAAATTACTCAAATGCCCTTAAGTAAAAAAGACTAATGTCAAAGTCCAAAATTTTTTTTTTTGAAATTATTTGAGTTTGGGAATTTGATTAACTGTTTTGACTGAAAAGATTCGTACCACTATCATCTCCGAAGGCTCCAAAATGAGGCACTCGCTCGTCCGGCGGGTACATCCTGGCGTTCGCTTACCAAAACTGCAATGATACAAATAAGCATGCATTAGATACATTAACATTTAAATTTATTTAGATCACAATGGATGAAACATCAGTAATGCAGTCATCTTCCTCTCAGGTGAAACTGATTGGGTTGTAAGATGACTAAATGGGAAAACCGTTTCCCAGAACAATAACAAGGAAAACATAACAGATCAAGAAACTATTAAATGGTCAACAGTTTTGACTAAACCCTGACAAACTCTGATTGGCTGACAGTGGCATGCAACAGTCAATCAAATTTAGTCTGATACAATTTCCAGAGTAAAACTATGTAAAGCCACTTCCAAAGTTGTATTTTGACATTCTAGCAGTGATGATTTTATTTAGATGTATCATAGCTGCTTTTCCCTCAGCTTAGAAGATTGCATACAGTATAAAACACGGACCTGTGTATACAATGAGAGGTCGTTTGTGTATTTTGTGGGTGGGGGACATACAAAGTCCTGAATCATAGAGTGCAACATACGGAGATAAAACAATCTGCTGAGCATTGTAGACACTTTAAAACCCTAGGATTTCCAACCCTTTTTTCACAAATATAGCTTTGACTTCATAGCTGGCAAACCTTCCTCATTAGGAGGGAGACTCCCTCATTTTGACCAAAATTTACCAACCTCCCTCAAAACTCCCTCATTCAAGTCTAAACTCACTTGAACTCAGAAATCTACATCCTGTAATCAAATGAATGCTTTTTGGAGGTTTTTTTTATACATAAACAGGGAAAGATAAATGGAGCAAAGCAGTTTCAGTCGCGTTTCACACACTTTCTCCCTCGGTGGAAATGTGGAATGAGGGAGATCTCCCTCATTGGGGGTTTCAGAGGTAGACACCTATGTGACTTTGTTTTGCAGAAAACTATTTAATGATAGATAAGTGCTGTACAGGACATACACACAAAACCCACACCTTTGAACAGGGACAATGAGGAATAAGGACTCTCTCTTAATCTCCTGAAATTCCACCCTGGGGTGGGGACAAAGAGGATTTAGGACTGTTGTTATCTGCTGAAAACGATCACACTTATAGATGGACATGTAACCCGAGTTATCTTTTAGACTGCTTCCTTGTCTACACAGACACATGTAATCTATAACCCTGTCAACTGGTGATATACCTACAGATGATATAGGTAAAACTGTAAGTACAGTATGTACAGACAGGTATGTAGTACAGGTATAATACAGGTAGGATAATCTATAAAGTCACACTATCGTTCAAGAAGTCAGGTAAGTGCCTTTGATCCCTGTTATCCGTTGATCCTGACTATACGGACCCAGTGAAGAATTACGCTATACACCTTAACCCACACTGACTTTTACTGTCAAACCCTGTCAATCAAATCATGTCTGGCATTTTAACCTTTGTTGACCTTTATTCAATTACCTAACAAAACTGTCAACAGGTTTAACACAAGCACATGTCCGTGTCTATAAATATAGAACGCACTGTGTGACAAGGTTCACCAGTTATAACACTGTGTGACAAGGTTCACCAGTTATAACACACTGTGTGACAAGGTTCACCAGTTAGAACGCACTGTGTGACAAGGTTCACCAGTTATAACACTGTGTGACAAGGTTCACCAGTTATAACACACTGTGTGAAAGTTCACCAGTTATAACACACTGTGTGACAAGGTTCACCAGTTATAGACAAGGATCACCAGTTCTAACACACTGTGTGACAAGGTACGCCAGTTATAACACACTGTGTGCCAAGGTTCACCAGTTATAACACTTTGACAAGGTTACCAGTTATAACACACTGTGTCAAAGTTCACCAGTTATAACACACGGTGTGACAAGGTTCACCAGTTAAAACACACTGTGTGACAAGGTTCTCCAGATATAACACACTGTGTGACAAGGGTCACCAGTTATAACACACTGTGTTAAAAGGTTCACCAGTTATAACACGCTGTGTAACAAGGTTCACCAGTTATAACACACTGTGTGACAAGGTTCACCAGTAATAACACTGTGTTACAAGGTTCACCAGTTATAACACTGTGTGACAAGGTTCACCAGTTATAGCACTGTGACAAGGTTGCCAGTTATAACACACTGTGTGACAAGGTTCCCCAGTTATAACACACTCTGTTACAAGGTTCACCAGTTATAACACACTGTGTAACAAGGTTCACCAGTTATAACACACTGTGAGACAAGGTTCACCAGTTATAGCACTGGGACAAGGTTACCAGTTATAACACACTGTGTGACAAGGTTCACTAGTTATAACACACTGTGTGACAAGGTTCACCAGATATAACACACTGTGTGACAAGGTTCACCATTTATAACACTGTGTGACAAGGTTCACCAGTTATAACTCTGTGTGACAAGGTTCACCAGTTATAACAAGGTTCACCAGTTATAACACACTGTGTAACAAGGTTCACCAGTTATAACACACTGTGCGACAAGGTTCACCAGTTATAACACACTGTGCGACAAGGTTCACCAGTTATAGCACTGTGACAAGGTTGCCAGTTATAACACACTGTGTGACAAGGTTCCCCAGTTATAACACACTGTGTGACAAGGTTCCCCAGTTATAACACTGTGTGACAAGGTTCACAAGTTATAACACGCTCTGTGACAAGGTTCCCCAGTTATAACACACTCTGTTACAAGGTTCACCAGTTATAACACACTGTGAGACAAGGTTCACCAGTTATAACACACTGTATGACAAGGTTCACCAGTTATAACACACTGTATGACAAGGTTCACCAGTTATAACTCACTGTGTGACAAGGTTCACCAGTTATAACACCCTGTGTGACAAGGTTCACCAGTAATAACACTGTTTTACAAGGTTCACCAGTTATAACACTGTGTGACAAGGAACACCAGTTATAAAACACTGTGTGACAAGGTTCACCAGTTATAACTCTGTGTGACAAGGTTCACCAGTTATAACACCCTGTGTGACAAGGTTCACCAGTTATAACACTGTGTGACAAGGAACACCAGTTATAACACACTGTGTGACAAGGGTCACCAGTTATAACACACTGTGTGACAAGGTTCACCAGTTATAGCACTGTGACAAGGTTACCAGTTATAACACACTGTGTGACAAGGTTTACCAGTTATAACACACTCTGTGACAAGGTTCACCAGTTATAACACTGTGTGACAAGGTTCACCAGTTATATCACTGGGACAAGGTTACCAGTTATAACACACTGTGTGTTATAACACACTGTGTGACAAGGTTCCCGAGTTATAACACTGTGTGACAAGGTTCACCACATATAACACTGTGTGACAAGGATCACCAGTTATAACACACTGTGTGACAAGTTTTACCAGTTATTACACACTGTGATACAAGGTTCACCAGTTATAACACACTGTGTGAAAGGGTTCACCAGTTATAACACTGTGTGACCAGGTTCACCAGTTATAACACACTGTGTGCCAAGGTTCACCAGTTATAACACTGTGACAAGGATACCAGTTATAACACACTGTGTGACAAGTTTTACCAGTTATTACACACTGTGATACAAGGTTCACCAGTTATAACACACTGTGCGACAAGGTTCACCAGTTATAGCACTGTGACAAGGTTGCCAGTTATAACACACTGTGTGACAAGGTAGTTATAACACACTCTGTGACAAGGTTCACCAGTTATAACACTTTGACAAGGTTACCAGTTATAACACACTGTGTGTTATAACACACTGTGTGACAAGGTTCACCAGTTATAACACTGTGACAAGGTTACCAGTTATAACACACTGTGTGACAAGGTTTACCAGTTATTACACACTGTGATACAAGGTTCACCAGTTATAACACACTGTGTGACAAGGTTCACCAGTTATAACACACTGTGTGACAAGGTTCACCAGTTATAACACTGTGTGACAAGGTTCACCAGACAACAGTGTAAAAAGTTATATTTGTTTGGCACATTAGTCGATGAACACACTGCTCTTAAATTAACAGTGGTTGAAAAAAAGTCTGCAATAATAATAATAATTTGAGGTTCTTATAACCGCTTTATCACAACCTAGTTCGTAGGTCGTCTCAAAGCGGTTCACAAATTATTATCCGTGGTTATAGGGCCTTTGAAACCAGTCAATACTTTTCTCAACTCCCAGTAGAACATGATGGGCCTTTTTTTTTTAAGTCTACTAAAAAGTTAAGCCCTTTATTTTATGTACGTAAATATCTTTTGTTGCAGGTCATTCTTTAACACAGGTATTGTATTCAAAGTTATACAAACAACAGACATCAAGATTGGGGACAATTCTTTCTACGACCTTGACCTTACAATCCACATCTTCTGTAGTGTGATGAACACGCTCACCTGTTACTGTGACTCGTTTGGGAGGTAAATGATCGGTCACAATCGACCTCGTCACAATTTGAGTGTATCGCACTGTCCGCCTCATCCCTATCCCCAGCCTCTGTATCATGTGCAATAAACACGTCCCCTGCCTCTCTTTTGTCTGCCTCCATGTGGGACTCCCCCATTGCGGCCCCTGCCGTGCCGGAGGACCCACATGGCCCACACTTCAGTGCGACACTCTGTTCTGAGTTCCCGACCACGTAAACATACATGTCTATGGGACTGTTCCAGATTGTCACTTAAAGACCTTAAAAGCACGTTGTTACATCACAAGGAAAAATCCAAATCTTTAATTCAAGCTCATTTAACCAGCTGTAGTACTTGACACTGATGTTTCAACCACTTCCTTTGAACTCCCACATATTACGCAGAATGTTTTCCAATGAAAAAATATTCCAATGAAATATCTCATATCATGCTTTTGATTATAGCCTACAGGATACAGACGACATGTCACAGTATAGGTATTTGTAGTAGGACCTTGGTGACAGGCTGAATTGATCGTTGGTCAGCTGTGTGATCTGGGTACATGAACACTGACCATCAACAGACAGGTATAAATTAATGGACAATGGTCACTCCCAGCTACGTGTGTCCATAATAAACGTAGGCTGGATAATTCCAATAAATTAATTCACTTATTTCAATGAAATCTGACACCTGGAGTTAAGCAAAGCACTCGATAACAATATCTGTATACACAACATCCGTGAAATTATAGTTTGACACGTTTTGAACTCTGTATGGACAAGTGGAGTACCAGACACAAGCTGTAGTATATAATGCTGTCCAATTTAGACTACATGTGTACATAAGTACAAAACCAAGGCCCTGTGCCGGGATCGGCGTGTCAGCAGGATCGTATTGAATATTTTACCTATCTGTTGATTACATGTTCGTGTCAGTGAGTCGGTGTATGGTGCTGACATGTGTATATAGGTAATGTACAACAGATAAACATGGTTACCGCCCCGTCTGTACCACAAACAGTAGATAAACGTCTTATAGATCCCTGTTACGTGGTAATCCTCGGCCAGCAATCACACTGTCTCTCAATCACGTCTCTTAATCACGTCTCTCCATCACGTCATCCTCTATAATGTAACGATGTAACAGTCTCCTCCTGGGAATGCTGTTTTATCTTATCGGGTCATCATACCAACAACATGGTTTTCTAAGAAGTTTTGAACCTCCTTTACAACACTGTTACAGTTATTATTCATCAGGAAACAATTATATCCAGGTAATCCTCTGTCTCCAGTATCTTTTGTAAACCCTGAAGTTGTTATACAATGGTATCATAATCATCTGTATGAGCTACCTGAACAGTACTATAGAGCTCAGCAGGAAATAGTTGTTACTTCACAGCCAGTTTTTCAATGTGTCATTTCTAAACTTTAGTACCGAATCATCACAGAGAAATAAAATCCCTCAAAAAATTGTCTCCAAGGTTGAAATAAATCTTCCAAGGTCTTCACCCACTGAAAATGGTTACCACAGGTTCAAAACAACCATAGACCACAATCCTATCATATAGGGAATGTCCACTTTTTAACGTTCCCACGTGGAAATTGTTGTCCAGCCTGGTCTAGGGACACAGTCAGTCTGATGTCCAGCCTGGTCTAGGGACACGGTCAGTCTGATGTCCAGTGAACGAACAACACTGACAAAAGGCTATCATATTTTACACTTTAACTCCGTCAAAGGTGCAGTGTCCGACATTTTGTCACCAGTGGATGCAGGTATACCAACACAGGTCTCGGCCACTGACGAGTAAAGCATTATCCTCTGGTAATACAATACCTGTGTCCCTTACCTGTCAATGGTACACAGGTAACACAAAACTCTACATCACTAACCCTAACTAAATAATTATAGCTCCGAACGGCAGGAGCTGACCATCTGTCATCAAACTCTATTCAAATCCAAAATTTCTCCGGCAAAAAAGTTCACCTGTCGAAGTGGTTTTGCCAATGTATGATCGGCTATAGGTGAGAATGGAGCGTGCCTACGTCGAATCTGCTGGAGATTAAAATGACGAGTAAGAAAGGCCTTTAAAGGTTGTGTCTTTGTGTATCGGACGACAAACTGTTATACAGAAAGACTACTGTTTGGTCGGATCGCTCGATGACCTTAATTCCAGACTAAGTCAAAATATAAACAAAGATCCATGTCACTTGAATATTATATTCCAGCTTATCCCCCGCAGAGACCCGAGGCCAGGTGAAAAACGGCAAAAAATTGGCCCTAATTGTATCACCTGACCCGCTGATTGGCAACTCAAATATGATTACATGCCAATTCCTGTCAGGTATATATACAAACCTTTATGCTACTTATAATAATACACATACTGAGGGAATGTATGGCTATCATTGTCAAACTGGTATTTCCAAAAACAGTAGTGCTAGCCAATATATCTAGTGACTTTTCAACGGCATAGTCAGAATTGTATGTGAAATGAAAAACATTTTTTTTTAACTGAGTACCAAATTCCTTACTGTCCCTTTGTATCAATACACATTTGTGTCACTTACTTGTCATTTCCACTGCCAGTCGTTACGAGTTGTCGTCGTATTGTAATTATACAAAACATGCGTCAACATATTATAATTACCTGTGTAATTTGCTGTACATATACACACCAAATGTGCATACATGCAAGTTTTCACACAATATTACGAAAATTGAAATTGAGTTTTTCTTTGTGCACCTGAATTTGTTTATGTAATAATGACACCAACATCACAATACAACAGTGACTGTTAAAAACCAATCAACTGTTACATTACAACATTTCTCTTTCTTCTGATTGGAGTGAAATGGCTATAGTAACATGCATAATTATATACGTTGGTGAAACTGATACAATTTCTATAAACTTATAGAAGGTGTCGAACCAAACTGCATTGGTAATTATAATCTGCCTCCAGGCTGAAGCTGTTTCCCCGGTAAACCCATGCATGCTCAGTAATAAGGCCCTATATCCCCCTTTTTAAAACCCATATCCCCCTTTTTAAAACCAATATCCCCCTTTTTAAAACCCATATCCCCCTTGTTAAAACCAATATCCCCCTTGTTAAAAACACATATTCCCCTTGTAAAAACCCATATTCCCCTTGTAAAAACCCATATCCCCCTTGTAAAAACCAATATCCCCCTTGTTAAAAACACATATTCCCCTTGTAAAAACCGATATTCCCCTTGTAAAAACCCATATCCCCCTTGTAAAAACCCATATCCCCCTTGTAAAAACCAATATCCCCCTTGTAAAAACCCATATCCCCCTTGTTAAAACCCATATTCCCCTTGTTAAAACCCATATCCCCCTTGTTAAAACCCATATCCCCCTTGTTAAAACCAATATCCCCCTTGTTAAAAACACATATTCCCCTTGTAAAAACCCATATTCCCCTTGTTAAAACCAATATTCCCCTTGTAAAAACCCATATCCCCCTTGTTAAAACCCATTCTATGATTCAATGTCATATCTGGAATTGAAGAACTTCAACTGTCAATTTTAAAGAAAAGGAGATAAAGCTGAGCTCGTTAATTCCCCCCTCCCCCACACCCCTCGAACTTTCTATATGCTATTTGTATGTCACTTCATGCATCATCAAATCAATAGTTACTTGTAACACATAAAATACAAACTAAATCAGATATTAATATCAATTGAAAATTTAGGAAATGTATACTAATATGAACAAAATATGAAATTCATATTCTCCAAATCACCGAGACTAAATTATGAAAATATGTTCAAGCACCGGGGCACTGAGGCTATTTTTGGTTATTTGTGATACGTGATACATTATGTCTGAGGGCGATACAACTAACCTTTATCTTCTTTCCGAGTGGAAACTAATTCAACCATTAGATTTATAGCTAATTAACACAGTAATCTAATCAAGCCACAAATTAAACCTCACTCAAAAACTCACTGATTCCAACCAACGTCTGTTATTACTGCCTTGTTGTACCAGTAACTTTCTACAATATATAGACTGCAGCCTCTTCATATTGTGTGTGCATTGCTGTTACGATATACGATATGTATTTGTTTGTTAGGTGTTTTACATCCCGACAACAAATCTTTAACTCTAAACTGAAAACCAACTAAAATTTCTCATTTAAATTTGCTTTGTGTACAGGATAGGTTTTGACAGTGAATTGTTTTCCACTTTTTTTAACAGTTATCAGAACTGAAGAGCAGAAATTCCATTTCAAATAAAGTAGAATTAGAATTGATTGAATCAAAGTTACTTAGCTACTGGGAAATCAAATTTGGATTTTAATTTGGCAAACAGATTCAGTTCTTAAAAGCTCGAGTCCAATACACATGTCACTCCATTTGTAGATTAACAGTCAAGGCCAACTTGTTTATTTAAGTTTTAATGATTTATTTTTCCTACTTTAATTTTCCTGTGAAATCCTATTTCAAAACGAAACCTATTGCTGGTCAGGGTTAAAATCCTGTGTCTTAAGTAACGACAGCCTTGTCTGTGTATGTATATAGCTGTGCTTTTTATGATGAATGAATGCCTATACACTTAGGTAGCATGTCTGACTAATGTATACTTATAATACACTTATATGATCCGATATAGATGTTTTAGTTTACATCAGCACCTGTTCCCCTCCCACTGATCCCAAACCCAGGCGTGGTCATACTGGTTACAAATAATACAAACATCAAAACTCTCACAAACAGAGCCTTCGTTTACACCCATGCATGTCTAAGATTTCATTGACAAACAAGCTGAAGCTGGGACTCATGGATATCTGTATCTATTTCCTACATCTATCATTACTTGCTATATGCAAAGCGTATAGAAATTCACCTGATCGTCTGTATATTTAATTGTAACCAAATTCATCATACATCTGTCTCCTCACAAGGTCATTGAGTGTGCATTGCTCAAGTTCATTTAAATTTTATAATTCTAACATCACTTTGTTTTTTTTTATACATATGTAATCTTAAACAATCCGAGGAAAACCTGCACATTATAACCACCGGCACACCCGAGTTTAATTACACTAATTCTGATAGCCTGTAACCTTAACTATACTCTCAGCATGTTAAAACTGAATTAGTTCTGTGTGACTCCAGCATCTTATAGTCAAATCAAGATCTTACTCGGCATATACCATATCTCCGAGGGATTGTGTACAATATTGTACACAACGGTTATTCCTTGAGCAATGTAACTGGGATCTTGGGATCGACTGACAGGTACATTCTCATATTTCGTACCCAAAGTACAAATCCTGGAGACAGATGGTACAGAAAACCTAAAAGTTACATATTTTAATTCAATATCTAGGGAGCATAATTACACTTATAAATACCAATGATTTAACTCTTTCGTTTGCACACTGAGATGTTTAAGGTAAGAAAATCTGTTAAAGTCGAGACACAATTGAGGCCCTGATTGATGCCAGCGGGTTCCACAGAAAACACATGCCCTGCTGTAATGATTGAAGCTCCTCCGTAGGTTCCACTAATTTCTTGACACGGCTACAACTAACATATTACATCATAACGGAACCCCGACAATGTAACTGCCTCATGCTAAAATGCTTTTTTTCCAAAAAAAATATGAATACAAGTAATATGTCTTCAGAAGGCAGTTTCCTGTTCAGTACGGTAAGTTAAAATCTCCTGATCATGACCCAGGCCCTCCAACCTGTCTTTGTCTTGTACATATACAAGTAATATGTCTTCAGAAGGCAGTTTCCTGTTCAGTACGGTAAGTTAAAATCTCCTGATCATGACCCAGGCCCTCCAACCTGCCTTTGTCTTGTACATATACAAGTTATAACAGATCAGTATAAGTATTTGTATCTGCATCACATTATATAAAGTCACATTTGATCCGAGAATGTAAGTATATTTCAGGCATTTTATTTTCCATGGGTCCACTGTTTACTTATATACATAATTTCACAATATAAAGATATCGACAATTTTCACAGGGATCTTTTAAAACATTTTTGAAAAGATCTGAGATCTGTATTCACAGTAACTGTATCACTGTAACTACTAGACATAATGCTTAATAACCAGGGTCTGACATCATACTAACCCAGTTGGCCAGGCCCTCATCATACTGGGGCATGACCTGACCTGACCTGTATCATAATTACATATCAAAGGTACTCGTTCACCACAAT